GTGATCTTCATCCAGACTCTTGATGTTATTTCCATTGGGCATCTTGATTCCTTCAGTTTTCTTATTATTATTATTTACTATTTCTATTTTTAGAAAATTAGTAATCTACCCATGTATGTATATGTGTGCAATGATGAAGTTTCCGTTCCAAAAAGTTCTTTGGGAGTGTACACAGGAACAAGAATGCAAGACTGGCCAAAAGCTCATTAAAGGAGCTACATCTTTTCTCAGGATCACTATGATGACTGCATTTGAAGTGAAGCCATAGGCATCCATGGAGGGCAAGTGAGGTCACATCATATCACAAATGACAGCACAAGAAATGACATTACACAAGACAAGTGACATAAATGATGTCACTTGCCTCAGTTATACAATGTAAATGACGCATAATACACAATTACTGACATTTGTACAATGACAGTACAACATGTATAGTCCTAGCTTATACCAGATATCTATAACTAAAGCTATTATACTATCAGTTCCTTGGTGAGGTAACATGTTATCTGCTGTTTGCAAACAAAATTGCTAATTAATGCATCCTGTTTTATAATTCAGGGCAGGATGTAAATTGAAAGAAAAAAGAATGACATTTAATTGAGATAAGTACAAAACTCTTTACTTGGGAAAAAAAATCAAGTGCATAAGTATAGAATGGGGAATAATTGGTTTTCTATGAGTATGTATAAAAATAATCTTGGAATCTGCTAAGAAAAATGTAATGTTAGGCCACATATATAGAAGTAGACTGTCCAAAAGGCAGGAACTGTTTCATTATATTCTGCATTGGTCAGACCAAACTTTGTGCATTCTGTCCAGTTCTGAGAACCACTTTTTAAGAAAGATTCAGAGAAACCCAGATAGGTACAAAAGGACAACAAGCATTTTGAAGGGATTTTGTAGTTCTGAGAGACTGTGAGAGAACTGGGGGGAAATGATACTACTTCAAATACTGGAAGGGATGTTGAGCTGAAGAAAGTCACGTTCTGTTCTCTACCATCCCAGTGAACAATGGAGTAATAACCTTAACTTACAGACAGAGATGAACAATGTTTGAAGAATGAATGGCCACACCTCAATTTTCCAAAGATCCACAGTAGGCATGGCTCATTCTTCAGCTTTTTGGTGGGTTTTAAAGGTGGAGATGGGAAGAAGAGACCTCCTGGAGATAACCCCCTTTCATTTACACTCTTAAAACCATCCCAAATGTGAAAAACAAGTTGAAACCTTGCTGCTGAAATTCAACCATTTCCCCACTGAATTTCAGAGGTGTAACTGCAGGATATTGGCTGTCCATTTTTGAGTCATAGGAAGGCAGATTCTGCCTGAATATTAGGACAGACTTCATAGTGAGTTCAGTCGCAAGTTGGACTAGATGACTGCTTCCAACTCTATGATTTTGTGTACTGAAAGGTAGATAAAAATAACGTAGAACAGATGAAGTAGAGGGACCATGTCTGTGGGCACGCTGGGACATTTCCACAGCCCATTATATGAATACGAGAAGGGGCAAATAAAGGTTGCTGATATTATCTCTAGCATTGTAAAGAGAATATTCTGGATTGTGTTGGTGGGATTTGCAAAAGAAACCTGGCATGTTTTCCCCCAATGATATAACAATGTCCTGATCTGAAGATTTAGCTGATGGTTGCAATCAAGAGCATATTTGTGTAATGTTATCATACTTCTGTGATAAAACCTGCTTCACAGTCCAGAAACTGGTGGAATAGCTTAACCAAGTCTTTTGTACATACACATAAATCCTGAATGTGAGTAATGACTTTCTCTCTTGCATCCACCAATCAGAGAAGGTGAAGATTGTGCCGAGATGAGGCCTGGAGCTAATCATTGTCATATAAGCAGTCTAGGAAAGAGGGAAAAATTAAAAAGTCAGTTTTGGATAAAAACCTCCTATCCGTATAATTAAAAACAAACCAATAGAAAAATATTTCAGTTGGCTTCATACTTAATCGTCAGAATTCCATTTTACTTATATAACATACCATCTGCAATATCATCATATATTTCTTCATCTCTGTAAATTTAGAAAGAGGAAAAAATGAATTTAGTTGCTTTTGTATACATTAGGAATCAAGAAGAAGCATTATACTGAGCCACACCATTGATCCATCGAGCTGTGACAGTTCCTCTCCACAATTTAGCCCAGATTGCCCCATCTTACCTGCAGATCCAGGTGGGTGAACATGGGTTCTTCAAAGCTACCAAATACAGTGTTTGCATATATATAGTATATAGTGATCACTTTCTGGCCCCTTTCATTAAACAATGTCATCTATCAGGATTCATGAAGTGTGGCTTCTCTGTGGCACTGCCTGCACTCTGGAATAACATCTCCCCCAAAATCTGTACTGCTCCTACCTAACTGACTTTCCAAAAACTATTAAAAACCCTGTTGTTTCCCCAAGCCTTGGGATAAGATGGTTGTGGAGCCCCTATTTTTTTGGTTTTTTTGTGATACTGAGTTAGCCTTCTGGTTGGGTGTGCTTTTTATGTATTTATTTATTAATTTAAACCACTCAGAGCTGTTGAGGAATTGGGTGGCATCGAAATTGGGGGGGGGGAGGGAGAGA